GATGTATTGGGAGGGAAAGGTTTCCTCTGGCTGGGGTGAGTCTAAAATCCTTGAGGAATCTTGATCCATCCACTCTGAGCTCCTGGTGAGGAGGTGGCCTGCTTCTGCCAGAGCAGCCCTGTGCACATGGGGGGCATCTGAGGCAGCCAGGCAGCCTCTGCCTGTGCCACATTAAGGCAAGAGCCAGCATCCGACCAGCAGTATCCTCCCTCCCCGTCCTCTTGGCTAGGCTGTAATGAGCCTGGAGTCCACTTGCTCCCAGAGCGGATTCAGTTTGGGGTGGCCAGACTTCATGCTCCATGGAATGTGGAGGGGAGTTTAGTGTTGAAACAAGAGAGGCTCTGGGCTTGTTAGCCATGGCCCTGGGAGATGGGATTTAATCTGTGGGTGAGCAGAAGGATGGGAGGCTGTGCTCCCTGCCCGCCCCCATACTGAGTTACTGCTGGTCTCTCTCTGCTTTCCAGCTGTGGAAGAGAAGTGGTATGAGCATGACCCCGCTGTCCAGCCCAGCGTCCTCCCGCTCCCAGACGCCAGAGTGGCCTCTCAAGAAAGCCAGGTAACTAGCCACTCACCTGGTGAGCGTCTGCTTGTCCATGCCAGCCAGGAAGAGAGCAGTCACCTTCCCAGCCATCCTGCTGCCCAAGTCCTGCTCTTCACTGGAGCTGGGACAATCCAGGCCCCTTTCTGAGATGTGGCTGCTGGGTCACCCAGCAGTGTGGAATGGCATCCCTACCGCCTTGTTTCACTGTGGTCCCGGCAGCAGCACTGAGCTCCATCATCCCTGCCCCGCTCCCAGGCTGGGTTAGAGATTTAAGGGCTCAGTTTGCCACAGAGGTGACGTTGCCTTGTGGCTTTGGCATGGCCTGGGTTGCTGGTTGTTGAAACATTGGGAAGAGACAGGTCCCAATTTTTGCCATCTCCTCAAAATCAATTCACAGGAGCTACAGGCCCTTGTGCTCCTGTCTCTCGGCTCAGAGAAGGACCTTGCGTCAGAACTAAAACTGACACAACTGCCTGCCCTGGCGACAGGGTGGGTCCAAGCCAGGACCTGCAAGGGGCAGTGGCCTGTCTGGGGCCCCCGGCTGCCACCCTGAGGCTGACTTGTTCTGCGCAGGGTTCACAGGTTCAGCGGCCTGACCAAGCTGGAGTCCTGGGGAGGGGAGTAGCTCCTCTGACTGGAGCTGCTTTCAGGCTGGTGCAGTGAGGGCAAGGCTGTTGTCCTGAGGTCTGTTGTTTGGTGGAGGCAAAGTAACACACCAGAGATGTTGGTCGGAGTCCTTAGCGTGTTTGGTCTTGTCCTGCTCCCTGGGGATGGCGCCAAGCCTGGGGTTGACCCTCCCTGGGGATGGGGCCACGCTTGGGGTTGACCCTAACTGGTTCTCTCCAACTTGTGCAGGGAAGAGGAGTTGCATTGCTCCAACACTTCCACTCCAGTGAAATCAGACAAGGAGCTGCAGACAGAGAAAGGTGAGCATAGGTGGGCCCCAGCTCTGTGCCCAGGTTGGATGGGCCACCGGTGCAAGCAAGCAGTGGGACAGGAGGTAGCTGAGGTCTGCAGGTGGGATTGGCTTGAGATGTCACCTGGAAACTAGGAACGTGCTGGTCCCAAGGCAGTGACACTTCTGCTGGCCTCACCGACTGCCCTAAAAGGATTTCCAGGTGATAAGCAAGGGGTGCTGACAGTGTCAGTGTGCTAGCAGATGCCTGGGAGCTGGCTTGCAAGGGGGAACACCAGCCCCCAACCTAGCACAGGTCCAGGTGTCAGCCTTGGGGCAAGATCTGCTGTGGTACAAGTAGCACCCTGATCATTCTAGGCTGAGCTTATTCCAGTGCTTCCTCAGCTAAAATGGAGAGGAAATCCTTTGTGCCCATCGCAGATAGGGTCCCATGGCACAGCACTAGGTTTGGCTCACACAGTTTGTGTGGTTTGTATTTTGGGTAGGCAGTGTGCGAGGACTGTCCGTGGAGGTGGGAAGGGGCTGCTGCCCTATGGAGCCCCAGCAGGCTCTTGTAACAGGCTGCCCTGGGATGTGTTGCAGCCAGCTGCTCTTCCAGGGTATCGCAGCCCTGTCCTAGGCTTAAAGCCGCGCCCCTGGCTCTGAGATGGGTCATCCAGAGAGGAGTCAGAAGGGACAACCCCGTTGGTACAAGCCAAATGCCTCCTCTGCCCAGAGCTGGTCCTGACTTGTGTCCTTCTGTAGCGGTGGAGACGCCGGCACAGAAGAAGCAGAATTCCCTGAGCTCACCGTCTGTGTCAGGGAGCAGCGGGAAGCGCAAGCGGAAGATCCAGTTGCTGTCATCTCGCCGGGGGGACCAGCTGGCGCTGGTACGTCGCTGTCTCGCAGCCCCTTTTGCCCTCCTCTGGCAATAGAATGTGCTCACTGCAATTTCTGCAGGGCTGGGGGGAGACTGACCTGCCTGCCCTCAGGAAGGAGGCCCCGTCCTTGGCCGAGTGGGAAGTGACGCTATCCCCAGCCCCAGTGTCTGGTGGGCTGTGCGTGATTGTGCTGCCTGCTGCCGGACCAGGTAATGGCCTGGGGAAGGCCTGCCGTGCCCTCAGCGCCAAGCCGGGGGCCAAAATGAATGGGGATTGGAGCTCCGCGGTAGCGTGCTGTGGCAGAACCACCTGCTTCACGGGTCTTGCGACGGCCAGCCTTCACCACACGTTCAGAGAGGCTCTGCCGGCTTCCCTGAGAAGGAGCTAAGCTGCTGCTCTCTCTTGGCAGCCCCCGCCACCTCAGCTGGGCTACTCCATCACGTCAGAGGACCTGGACGCGGAGAAGGCGGCAGCGTTGCAGTGGTTCAACAAAGTCTTGGAGGATAAGGCTGGTAAGGGTGGACTGGGAATGCGGAGTGGATGGCAAGAAGTAGAAACCCAGGGCCAGGGCTGGCAGGGCAGGTGGGGTATCAGTCTAGTGCAGGCTGGGGAAGCTCCTGGGCCAGTCCTGGCTGGTCCTTGGTTCTGGGGATGCTCTTAGTGCCTTCAGACTCAGGAGAGCTCGTGTCCGAGTCCCCAGGGTGGTGGGTGAGGTTCCCCAGGGCCAGAGCTGTGGGGATGTTCATGCAGTTTCCCTACCCGCTGGGAAAGCTCTGCTAAGGAGTAGTCCTCCACAGCGAGCTGCAGGTCCTTATTTCTTGCTTCTTCCCAGTAGATGCGGTCCCCAGCACCACTGCAGAGACTACGCCCGTGTCCACGCCACTGGCATTTGGCATGACCTCCTCAGGGCCTGTGCCTGCCTCAACACCTCCTGCCCCAGCCAGTACCAACTCTCTCCTGGACAGCCTGAAGAAGATGCAGAGCAGCCAGGCTGCGCCTGCACCAGCAGGTGAGGAGGAGGAGGGTCAGCAGAGTGGGACTTCAGCAGAGCAAGGTGGGTGCAGTGGGAACTCTGCATTGCCTCTGTGGGAGGCAGGTGGCAAAACTCCCTGTTCAGATACTCTGCTGGCAGGCAGGTCTTGGGGCAAGTTTGGGGACAGTGAGCCCATGGTCCTGTTGGGAGCTGCAGTAAGTGTGGAGGGCTGGGTCTGTCTGGTATGGGTGGGTGCTGCTCCGGCAGCCTTTGTAGCAGCAGGGTGGGTGCCTGGCAGAAGGGCTGTCTGTCTGTAGGTGACCCCGTGTCCCTAAATAAGGTCTCTCCCCCTTTCCAGACTCCACTGGAGCTGCAGTAGCATCCCAGCCGCCTTTATCAGCTGCACAGCCACCCACTTCTGCTGTATTGCTGGAGTCAAGTTCTCTGCCTGCCACCTCTGCTGACACCAAGCCTGTGCCCATGTTGAGCACGCCTGCTCCTGCTGCCCCCCCTGCCTTGGGGATGCAGGCCTCCAGCAGCCTGGCACCTCCTGCGTTCACAGAGCTGGGCCAGACACCCAGCAAGCCTTCCTCCTTCCCAAAGCCAAGCATCCTTTTTGGCATACCAAACACCCCTCCTGCCAGCCAGCCAGCAATGACTGCGGCTGCTGCTGTGCCCACAACCTCTGCTGTGCCCACCACGACCCCTGTCTTCAAACCCGTCTTTGGTGCTTTGCCGAAAAGTGAGAGCGCAGCACCCTGTACGGCTGTCATCTCTGCCACGGTCACCGTGTCTGCGAGCTCAGGCCCTTCCTTGACATCCTCCACCACCACCATGTTCAAGCCTATCTTCGGCAGCGTCACCACAGCTTCATCTCCAGTGAAGGCCTCTCCTTTTGCCTTCAAGCCAACGTCACAGCAGGCCTCGGCTGCAGATCTGCCAGCAGCCTCCACGACTACACTGGCAGCATTCACGGGTCTCTCTAATGTCATCTTCACCACTGCAGCTATGACTGCCACCACGCAGAGTTCCTCCACAGATGCCACCATTAAACCTGTCTTCAGCTTTGGACTCAACCCACCCACCTCCACTGGTCCCACTACCAGCCTGATTGTCACCGCTGCCACATTGGCCCCACTCCCCGCCTGGTGGCCCCCGCTGCCACATCCACCAGTATGTCACAGCCCTTCCTGTTTGGGGGCCCAGTCAGCTCAGCTCCCAGCACAGAAACCAGCTTTGCCACCCCAGGGCCTGTGTTCCAGTTTGGAAAGCCACCTCCAGCCACGGTCACTGCCACCACCAGTGTCACAGGAGGCCCTGCCTTTGGCCAAGCACCTTCAAACTTGACGGCTCCTACCACCACTGTGGGCTTTAGCATATTTGGGGGCACCACGCTGACCTCTTCTACACCAGCCACGACAAGTCAAGCAACATTAACGTTTGGCTCCTCTGTTTCAGCTTTTGGCAGTTCCTTCAGCACAAGCACAAAGCCGCCACCACCATATCCTGGTGCAGTGAGTCAGCCCACCTTCAGTGCCAGTGCTGCAGAGAGCCAGACATCCACCAGCAAGCCCACTGCTGGCCCTGTCAGCTTTGGCCCCCCGTTCAGTTTTGGAGCCCCCACAGCTCAGTCCACTGCTCAGCCAGCATTTGGCAGCAGTGCTCAGCCAGCCTTTGGCACAACCAGCACCCAGGGCTCCTTTGGCATCAGCAGCACCCAGGCAGCGTTTGGGACCACCACGTCAGTCTTCTCTTTTGGGACAGCCACCTGCACCACCACTAGCTTCGGTTCCACCACTCATGCCACAAGCAGCAGCACTGGCACTGCTGTCTTTGGCACCACCCCTTCTCCTTTCACCTTTGGGGCAACCGCCCAGCCAGGCCCCTCCGCCAGCGCCTTCGGGATCAGCACGCCTGCCTTGAGCAGTGGCTCTCCCGCTGTGGCATTCAGCTTCGGGGCTGGACAGAGTGGGGCAGCCCCAGTGGCAACGCCATTCGGCTCTTCCCTGACGCAGAGTGCGCTGGGTGTGCAGAATCAGAGCACACCCTTTGCCTTCACCGTGCCCAGCACACCCAACAACAAGCCCGTGTTCGGAGGTGAGTCAGGCTGGACAGGCCTTCTTGGGGGGTCAAGAGCGGGGCTAGATTTAGGTGGCAGCTTTCCTGCTGGACCTTGCTGAGCTCCCTGGACTCAGGAGCCCTAGAGGGGCTGGTGCTTGTTCTGTGTGGAGCCTTGCCATGCAAAGGGAAGCTGCTTCCATCACTCACTGTCTGGGTCCCCAGCCCTCCATGGTGGAGGGGAATCCTCAAATTCTGCTCCTTGGCCCCTCTGAATGCACCAGCTCCCTGGCTCCACAAGAGTGTTGAGCCCAGCCAGGCACCCTGCAGAAGCCAAGGTCTTGCCAAAGCAATCTGGAGCTTCTGGGCAAGTAGAAACACTGCCAGGCAGCAACTGCAATCACATCTTGCTTGTTCTCTGAGGTTTTCCCTACTGCCTTGCACCCTCACTGGGCCATCTCACCTCCCACAGAGCTGAAACCCACATGCTAAGCAACTACTTGATGATCTAGAAAGACGGAAGCCTTTGTTCCTCCCTTGCCTGCAAATCCTCCTGTGCTGCCCTGCTGGCAGGAGAGCCCAGGGATTACCATGAGAGCACAACTTCTTGTATTAAGAGGGCTTCTCAGGTGAAGAGGCTGGTTCTGGGGGACTGTGGTGCTTCAGCCCCTGGAGGGAGATCTGTGCCTCCTGCAGGTGCCGCCAGCTACCGAAGGCCAGGCTCTTCCTCCGCTGACCCTGGCTCATAGTGGCGTGTTGCTTTCCAGGAACTCCTGCGCCCACCTTCGGGCAAAGCACACCTGTCCCGGGAGCAGTGGTGAGCGGAAGCAGTAGCCTTTCCTTTGGGACGCCCAGCACTCCTGCCTCAGGCTTTGGAGGAGTCGGCGCTTCCTTCGGTAAGGAAGGAGTTTGTGCTTCAGCCTTGGGGAGCTGATAGGTCATGTTGTCCCCTCAGGCTGGGAATGATGGAAGGGCCAGGCTGTGCTCTGACAGCCAGCTTGGGTGGTACCTGCTGGGCTCCGGGGGATGCAAAAAATTCCATTCCCCCCAGGATGGGGATTATGCTACCCCCCATGCCAGCTCTGAGTGAGCCTGCAGAGACCTGAGCAACCTTTCTGCTTCCAGGTTCATCCACCCCAGCCTTTTCCATCGGGGCAGGATCCAAGACAGGCGCTCGCCAGCGGCTGCAGGCACGGAGACAGCACACCCGCAAAAAGTAACCTCCAGTGCTGCTGGGCCCCCACTGCTGGCCTACGTGAGGAGCCCCTGCATGTGCATGGGGGGGCTCCAGTCTAGAGTGGTCCCCGTGGCAGGACCAGTGGTGATGGAGCCAGGCCCCTGTCTCTGATGCCAGCTGGAGACAGTGCTGGGTGGCAGTGAGTGGGGTGGGACGGAATAAACAAAACTCTTCTTACTTGAACAGTTCCGCAGCCAAGGCTGGATGAATCTCTGTACATATCTGCAGCGTTTCCTCCCTCACTTTATTTTGCCATGTTTCATAACGTGTAAATTTTTCCCCATTTGCTGCTTCTAGCTGTTTCTGTGCCCTCCTCTGTTTCTGTGCCAGCCTCCCGACAGTCAGCCCCCTGCCCCGTGGCATGGCACCCAGCAGAGCTGCACGTCCCTACTTGGAGCCCGGCTGGAGATGTGCTGTGTTCCTGCCTGCTGTGGTTCCAGGCTGCTGAGGGATGCTGTCTTCACCAGGTCCTGAAACCTTTCCCCATTGTTTCATCCCGTGGCCTGGTGAATGCGCTCCCTCCGGAGGGCTCTGCTTTGTTGCCGTCCCTGCAGAACACAAGCTGGGGTTAGTGCCAGCCTGGCGTTGGCATCTTGGTGCCATGGGTGACCAGCCTGGCTTCTGCAGCTGGGTGACGACCACCTCGCTGTGACTTAATCTCCTGTCAGACCTCCAGCCAAGGAGGCACCATAGCCTGGGACCTCAGTTGGAGGCATGGACTGGGGATGGGGGTCCCTTCACCCCTCTCCTGGCCGCTGAGCAGCCCCCACAGCCCTCAGCTGCTCCCTGCTGGGTTGTGGGCTCCCCCCACCCCGCTCGTGTAAAGCCCTCTCTGTTTTGCTTTATTTGTGCTCCCATTTTGATGCGCTCATTGAATCTAGTTTGGAGGAAGAACTGAACCGTGTGTGTGGCGGCATGTTGGTTATGCCGGATTTGCTGTTTGGAGTTTCTTTTTTTTGGGGGCGCCCATCCCTTTGCAGAGGATGCGCCCTGGCTAATTGGGTGTTGACAGTAGCATCAGTGCGTGGCTACTCGCGCTGGGGGAGTTGTCCCTTCATTGTCATGACTGAAAGGCAGGCAGCTGGGGTGGGGGCTCTAGCCCTGGCAGTCTCTCCCCTCCCTTCCCCTGTCTCCTGGTGCCCATTCCCCACCTCAGGGTGTTCTGGAGCCACTAATGGAAGGAGTCCAGAGCAGATGGATTCCACACACACACCCCCCAAATGCAAATTGTTTTTCATTTTTAGCTCATCCCCCTCCTTTTGGGTTTTGCCAGCTCCTAGGAGCTATGGTGCTGCTTCCCCTCTGTTCCTGTCCAGCCAGGAGCAGGGCCTTTCCCCTGGAAGAGACTGCTGGAGCTGGGGGTGACCTGAGAGCTGCCCCCCAACCCTGCCCTGGCCAAGGGATGGGCACCCCTGCAT